GGGGGCAGAGGGAGGCGGTGGGGGGACGGAGGGCGGCCGGGGCAGAGGGCAGTGGGGGCAGGGGGGCAGAGGGAGGCGGGGTGTGGACAGAGGGAGGCGGGGGCAGGGGAGGCGGAGGCCGACCAGCCCACGTGAGGCAGGTCCCCAAACAAAAAACCTGCTTGTGTCAGGACCAGCCTGGATGCAGCCCAGCATGTGGGGGGGCACAGGACCATCACCCACAGTGAGGCAATGAGGGTGACTGCAGCGTCACTGTGACAGCAACTGGCTGGTCACCGGGAAGACAATGCTCCTTATGTTATCGGGCTGCTGGGGGCTGGTCCCCAGTCTGATGTCCAGGACAGCTGTCACTGGGAGGCCAGCAGGAGACCCCCCTGGAGGAGCCTCTTGGGCCACCGAGCCCTCTGCTCCGAGTCCTAGGTGTGTGCCACGCAGGCCAATCAGAACRCTGTCAGCTCGAGCCTGCCACACCTGCATTCTCCTCCCAACTCATCAGGGGACAAGCCATAGCTGCCCACAGAGCCCTCCCCATGTGGGGACAGGTAACCTGGCTGCCTCTTTAAAGGGACATGTCAGCATGTGCGGAGCCCCTCCGTCCAGCACTGAGCCAGGCCGCAGAGCCGCACTGGAGGAGACCTTCCTCCCCTCGCAGGAGAGCCGCACGCCTGCTTGGTGTCTGGGCACCCGGCTTGGTACCTCCCACCCTCACCTCCCGGAACGTCACCGTGGTTCAAAGCACGTCCTGCTCCTTCCTGACCCAGTTGGCACCTTTCCTCTCCATCTCTCCCACTCTGCTCCCCCAGGAAGGTCAACGTGGCTCCCCGAACCTCAGCTGCTCCCCAGGGCGCAGCCAAGACCCCCAGCATCAGCCAGTGTGCCTGAGCTGGGAGCCTAATGGGACCGTCCACCTCAGAGGCACCAAGGGCAGCTGGAAGGCCGGGGGCAGCGTCCCGACAGCCTGGGGCGAGAAGACCTGAGCACCCACAGAAGCAGGGAGGGGCCTCTGCGACGGCAGAGGGGCTCCCAGGGCTCGGTGGCTTGCTCTCTGGGGCCCCAGGAAGGCAGGTCGATCCTGGGGTGTCAGTGGGGCACAGCTACCGAAGAAGCCACATGTCAAAGCCGCACACTGCAGGACTGTCACCACGGGGAACGTCCAGAAAGGCAAATCCTCAGGGACAGGAAAAGGGCAGCAGCTCCCAGAGGCTGAGAGAGTCAGGGACACTGCCAACCGGCACTGGGCCTCCTTTTAGGGTGACAAAAGCGTTCCACAAGGAGACAGTGGGGACAGGTGCAGGACACTGACAATTAYTAAAGGCCATGTTGCTGTGGGGACAGACGCAGTGGTGCCTGGGATGGGTCCCGGCCGCGTCTCTGGTCGTCACATCCCTAACCAGCTCCTGTGGACAGGACCAAAGGCGTCCCAGGAAGAGGGTCCTCGCCTCGCCTTCTGCCCACAGGCCCAAGGGGTGGGCGTCCTTAAATTCCTGTTAGCAACAAAGGTCACGGATGCAAAACGCCACCAGGAAGTGTCTCCAGCTGCTGCTCCCAGGGTTTTCGTCCCAGCCCCAGCTCCTCCCATGGAGAAGCAGGTCTGAAGACCCACGACCCAGGCACACTCCCGCCCTCCTGCAGGGGCCCCGACGGAGGATGGTGACCCCATGGCCACGTCAACCAAGTGTGAACACACCAGCACCTTTCAGAAGGAATGGGACACAGAGGGAGGGGTGCACCCTGAGGGGCCACCAACGTCAGTGGCTTGCCTGTGACGGACGCACAACTGACAGGTCGTGTGCACAAGAAGTACCTGGTGCAGGCTCTGGGGTGGGCACAAAGCCAGCCCCCAAGAGCAGATGGTTCTACTTAAATCAAACCACACACAGCATGCAGAGCAGGACCCCGGGTGCCGGGAGACACCACGCACCCCGAAAACCAAGACCAGGCTGGGGGAGCAGCCAGCGGGAGGGTACTTCCCAGCACCCGCTGGGCCCTGGGTCCCACGCCCAGCACTGCGTGTGCACAGACACACCACACACACACACACACACACACACACACACACACGTATGTAAAAATAAAAAGTTTAAGACCCCACTTGGGAGTAAATCACCAACTCTGGACAGCATGGCCTCTGGCCTCAACCACATCATCAATCACATCTGAAGCTGCACAGTGGACAGCTGAGGATCTGTCACCCATTTTAGGTTACAACTTTGTGCTTTGAAAAAGTTAAGGGGTCAAAGTAGCAGAGAGGCCCTTCCCCACCCCAGGCCACATTCACCACCACCGCGCAACGCTTTTAACAGCGCCYGGCCGCCGGGTGTCAGAAACATCCCCTGGCACGGTCTTTCCAAGGATTCCAGCCAGGTGGCAGAGCACAGGTGCTCGTCAATGCCCACGACGGAGACACGTGACCCGCAGACAGCACCTGGCCGCAGGCTTCCAGAAGCGATGCCCTCCCCGTCCGTCCCTCTCCCTGAGAACATGACTCACCTCAATTTTGTCCGTCTTGGCATCTCCCCAGTACAGCTTGCCCTCCTGCAGGTCCAGGGCCAGGCCGTTGGGCCACCCAAGGGAGGTGTTCACCAGGACACGCCGCTCCCGCCCATCCAGGTGGGCACACTCGATTTTGGGGCTCTCCCCCCAGTCTGTCCAGTACATGAGGCTGGGGGAGAAGCAAGTGCTCAGATGGCACCGTCTCTCTGGGCTCTGCCATGTTCCCAGCTCTAAGTACCATCGCCCCCATCCCACCCCATCCACGGGAGAGCTAGGCCCAGGGTGAGCCACAGGCCCAGCGGGCAGACCCTGGCCACCACCAGACCACGGTGCCCCAGGGGTGGCTTCGTGGCACAGGCCCTGAGACTCAGGCTGCGGGCTCATCTGCCATCACCCAGGTCAGCTGACGGGGCCAGGGGCAGCGTCACGACAGGCCTGGGCTAGAGGGACTGACAGGAAGGGACAGAGCAGAACCTTCTGCAAACAGCGGAGGGCCTCTCAGGGCTCAGGACCGGTGGCTTGTTCTCTGTGGCCCCAGGAGGGCCCGGAGCCTGGCGTGGCAGCGGGGGCCTGGCTCTCAGTGCAAGGAAAACCAGCCGAGCCGTGCCCCGGCCCTCCTCTGCACCATTGGCCGTGGCGCCTCCCCACCCAGCACCTCACACCTGGCTTCTAGACCGTCCCCTGGCACCCTCTGCTCAAAGGCACGGGCTGTGGGGCACCCTCACCCCATTCCAGAGGAGCCCCCTGAGGCCCATGGACTTATTCTGTCCTCCTGTGGCTGCAGGGCACTGGAGGACACTGCCCACACCCCTGCTGAGGAGAGGCAGCAGCCCCCAACCTCAGAGCCTGCCCCTTCTGGGTCGGGAGCCCCCAGGGACGCCCTGGACCTCCACCCTCTGGCTGCTGGAGTCTGAGGGGCCCTCATGGCTGACCAGCTCTCCACCCGCACAGAACCCTAAAATGGACAGCTGGAGCCAGAGCGCGGGCCAGTCTATGTGCGGTGTGACCTTGGGTATGTCCCTCAATCTCTGTGGGCTTCAGAGCCCTCCACTCTCCACCCCTACCCCCTGGACAGGGGGAGGGTGAAAGCGACCGGAGAAGAAGCATTAGGAGAGGCAGCCATCCATGTCACTATGTCACCCTCGAGTCACTCTGCTGGGGACTCCACTCTACAGGGAACTGACTCAGGAGCACAGGCCTGCGGGCCCTGCAGCACCTCCACAGGGACTACAAGGGCCTGCGTCGGTGGCTCTCAAGGTCTGGCCGAGGACGGGCAGTAGCGGAGTGCCTGGGTCTAGTTTGAGAACCGAGTCCCCGGGCAGACGGCCCTCAGCCCCTGGGCGGCCGCCCTCTGCCCACTCCAGCCCGAGTGTGCAGCCCCCACCCGCCTTACCCCATCACAGGGTGCAGCACAATGGCCCGCGGCTCGTCCAGGTCCTCAGACACCAGGATCTTGCGGGAGGTGCCATTGAGGCGGGTCACCTCGATGCGGTCGGTGCCTGTGTCTGTCCAGTAGAGGTTGCGGGCCACCCAGTCCACTGCGATGCCGTCGGGGTCGTTGATCTCAGTGCTGACCAGTGTCTGCGCCCCAGACCCATCTAGGTAGGCCCGGCGGATGGCCCGCACCTCGTCGTCTGTCCAGTAGACGTGGCCCTCTAGTGGGTCGTAGTCGATGGCGATGGCGTGCCGGATGTCGTCCACCTGCAGCACGATGTCCGTGAAGTCCGGAGTGTCCAGAGAGATCCTCCGCAGGTCCGTGCGCCGGGCCAGCAGCAGCACCTCCTCGGCCCCTGTGGAGACATGGGTGGTGGGGTCAGCAGGTGCGAGAGGCTGGGACCGAGTGGACAAGCAGGCGAGGGTCTCAGCCAGGTCCCCAGACTTTCCCTTGGCAAGCAAGCGCCAAGCTCTTCCTGTGGTCACTAGCAGGTCCTCAAGGAGCTCTGGGAGTTTGGCACTGTTTGTTTCCCTATTTTTTAGAAGAGAAAACTGAGGCACAGAGACACTAAACAACAGGTGAAAGCCACACAGCCAGGCCATCTGGCTTCAGTGTGTGAGTGCTGAGGCACAGCAAACCCAGGGGACCCAAGGCCCAGAGACCCGCGGGGCACCTTCAGGTGTGCCAAGCACCAGCACAGAGCTTAGCTGCCATTGGGCATCCCAGATGACCGAGGCAGGGGAGAAACGTCTCTGGGGTCACGAGTATTCTGACCCGAGCCAGGGCTACTCTGGGGGCTCTGGGTCCTGGGACCCAGCCAGGCCACCGTGGGCTGCCAAAACAGTTGACAACCCCAGGAACTGGGACCTGGTTTCTCTCCACACACTTCCAATATATCTGAAGACACTGTGAAGTCCACCCCAGAGTCACCTGGGCCTCCCGGACCCTAGGGCGGAGCCGGGGGGCCAGGCAGCTTTGAGGCAAGCCCTTCACGGTGCGGGCGGCTGGGGTCCAGAGTGATGCTCCCCACCTGTTCACCTGGCCCTGTGCTCTGGCTGAGGGCCACCTCTGCTCCGGGCACCTGGGGCAGCCTGAGTCCCCAGGGCGGCTGAGAGCACACAGTCAGCTGGGGGAAGCAGAGGGGGACTCAGAGGCCTGGGCCTTCACACAGGGAGCGGGGGGCAAGCAGAGAGACCCCATGAGGGTCGTCCCAAGTCTCTCTGGCCCCAGCAACTCAGGACACCCTTGGGACCCACATCCCCACTCACTTGGGCTCAGATCCACAGCTCAATTTGGGGGTCCGGGGCTACAAGAGCCTCTTCTGAAACCGCAGCCTGCCCCCTGCAGGCTCCCAACCGGGCCTGAGCCGACAACCACACCTGAAGATGCAGCTCACGCGGCCACACGCGGGGCTTGTCCGTTCCCAGCACGTCCAGGGCCTTCCCTGCTGGCGCGGATCAGAGCTTCCAGCTCAGTAGGCTGAAGCCTACTTGGCCCTCACAGCAAGGGCTCCAGAGCTGCTGGGGCAGGACGTGGCCCCCCTCCTGCAGAGCTGGGCCAGTGTCCACTCATTTGTTCCTGCCCTCTCTGGTCTCAAGGACCCGTAGAACCAAGAATGGGACCAAGRCCATTTCCAGTGTTCCGGGGCCACCTTCCTGCAGATAGCAGCTCAGGGGTGAGAGAAGACCAGAGCCTCCCGCCCACCCTGGCCCCAAGGCCAACTGCCCCTTCTGGGGTGTCTGGCCAAGCTGTGGCCTTCAAACAACAGAGAGTGCTCTGCGCCCAGTGTCGCTTCCCGGCTGGGAAGGATCTCAAGACGGGTTCCTGCGCTGGAGCCCCCGGAGGTCACAGTGCAATCCCTCCACTAGAGGGCGCCCACGAGACAGCAGCAGCTTCCTGAGCCCCGCTGGGGAAACTGAGGCAGGCGGGTGGGCCAAGTGAGGCACAGGCATCCCACCAGCATCTGTGTGAGTGGCTCCTTCAGGCCAGACCCCAGACCAGCTTGAGGGGTTAGGAGGGGGCAAACCAGACCCAGGATCCACCCGGCGACACCCCCAGGGTCACAGGACAGAGACTGTACATAAATGAGACCATCAAAGGACACAAACTGTGGCTGGTGCTCTGAGGGACAGCTGGGGGACAGGTGCACAATGGGGTAGGGGCCTGCCCCGGCTCCAGGGACTCTGTCACCCCGAGCAGATCCCAGAGTCATCAGGGCTGAGCATGGCGGCCGAGTCCCCACCACCAGGTCAACACGGAGCCCCTGGCACAGCCCACATCAGGTCCCCTTCTCGGCACCTCGAGGAGGACACACGTTCAGCCCCGGGGCTGAGGGAGCTCACGCAGGTGCTAACCGGGTCCAGAGGGTCCTCTGACGTCTCAGGCCCAAGCCTTTGAGGGTTTGGAGTTTGGCCAAGAAAAGCTCAGAGACCTGAACCAGGATACCCAGGGGACAGCCAGGGGACCGCCAGGGGACAGCCAGGGGACAGCCCGCTCGCCTGAAGGTCTGAAGGCTGCTTTGACATAGAGGCTTCCCTGGTCCAGTGTCCAGGCCCAGGCCAATGGCAGCAGCCCCCAAGAGTGTGCCTCAGGCCTAGGGTCCGTCAGCCACTTGCCCAGCTGTGCCCACAGCCAGCCTTCTAGAAGGTTCTTTTATAGCAAGGTCCAGGCAGCATCCCTGGACACTGGCAACAGTGCTGGCCATGACGAGGCGAGGCTGACCCCTTCCTAGGACCAGCCATACAACCCGCAGAGGAGCCTGTTTAAAACGGGGACATAAAATGCTTGGAGACCGACAGTTGGGCCAAGTGGTTTTCCTTGGGGTTGTTTCAACAAACAGCCTGCCCCACAGCACCGAGCGCGGCCAGGGAAAGTGAAGCCTTCCCGGCCAGCCCCGGAGGGCTCCTGCCTCTCCCCGCTGCTCGCAGAAAAGAGGGCAGCATGCCCCTGGGGAGCACGGCTGGGGGCACAGCCTCCGGGAGGCACATTCTCTCCAACACACAAGCGCTGTTCTGAGGGAGGCCCAAGGTCATGGACATGTCCAGCTTGATGTCCTCCCTCTGCCACCATCTGTCCCAGTCAGCTGCCCCCAACCCCAATCATGCGGACTC